GCGGGCAGCACTGAGGGACCCTGCCCCTCCCCTCCCCCCAGGTCCTTTCCTCCTGCAGCTTCTCTCAGGTGAGACCGACCGTCTCACCCAGCAGCCACTGCCCAGCCGCACTCCAGGCGAGGGCCAGTGCGCCTGTTCCTGACCACTGCAACTCCGCGTCCAGAAGGCCACTTCTCAGCTGGCAAAACTCCTCTCAAATTTAGAATTGGAACTATTTCCTTACTAGTGTCTTTGGCTTAAGTTTTGTCTTTTGAGTTTGAATGCTTAACCCCCAGAGAGACAGAGGGGCAGGAGTGCCAGGCTCCTGGTCTTTACCACAGGAGCCAAGGCCTGCCTGCTGCTGTCTTTCCCCCCTTGGTTTTGTGTTACAAGAGTTGCTGGAGACAGTTTCAGATGATTATTTAATTTGTAAATACTGTACAAATTTTAATAGCTTAAATTGTATATACGGCCAAATAAAAACTTGCATTAACGACTGGTGGGGCTTGTGTCACAGCTCAGTGTGTCTGGTTCCTTTTCCTCGCTGAGCTGTAAACTTGAGTGACTGGAATCTCTAAGGGTGAGGGTTTGTTTTTGTGAAAGCATTCCTGGGGACACTGTCGCCTATTAACCAACTAAGAAGGTATCCCGTTTTACGTATGGAGAAACAGCCCAGAGAAATTCGGTACCCTTAGGTCAGAGGCCAAGTGGGGGAGCCAGGATCTGACAGCTGTTTTAGTTTTATGCTGGGGTGGGTGGGAACTCAGGCCTTCAGCCCCTGGGAGCCCACCGATAGGGCAAGTATTGTGCCTGCTGGCTGGAGGTAGGACAGGATGGCAGGCGAAAGGTCAGCATCCTCCTGCCTGCAGGGCCCTGTGCTGTCTTGATTCAGGTCAGCAGGCTGGGAGGAACTCCCAGGTACTCCCCTGTGGTGTGAACAGGGACCTGGAAGGGAACCCCTACCTCTCCAACAGGTAGACAGAGCCCGGAGGTTAACGTGTGCTCTGTGCCTGCACAGCACTTGGAGCTTAAGACCTCCAGGACCCACACCTGAGCCATCAGCGCACTCCACAGCCTCCACCGAGCCAGGTCCAGCCTAGAGCAAGGGTATGGGTGTGTCCGCAGCAGTGAACTCCGGAGGGTAGGGAAGGAATGTGTCCAGGAGGCCTGCCCTGCCGATCCCTAAACTAGCTGGGCTACTGCTTCCACCAGATGGCTAAGCACTGACGAAGAAGCAGGAGCAGGCTGGAGGGTGGGGGGAGGACAGAGGCTGATGCCACTAGCTTGGCTGCTCTAGGCTGGTCTCCAGTGTCAGCTCTCCCCCAGGACAAACACCTGGGCACAGGGGCCCGTTTGTGCCTTCAATGTCGGCCAGTCCTGACCCCAAAGTCCCTAGGCCCTCACACTCTGCCCCACCCGAGCCCTTTGCCCTGGTCTCTATCCCCTGTGCTGAGGGTTCCAACACCCACCTCCCTCTCCCTGAGAGCCCCTGGACTCCACTCTAGGGGCATCTATCACGCAGACGGCTCAGCGGGCTCTCAGAAGCCCTTCTCCAAAAGCCAGGCTTTGAGCTGCTGGTCAAAGTAGCCCTTGATCCGCAGGGTACCTGTCACTTCATTGACCTGGGTGACAGGTGTCTTCCCCAGCAGCGGGCTCAGAAAGTCTTCCACATCCTTCTTCAGGGCCTGGGGGAAGATGACAAATCAGCGCTGATCAAGAGTCTCTCCCCTCTAAAGGACTCCCAACCCCTTGGTCCTAAAAGAGTCAGGACTAGACCCCAAGCTATCCCCCGCCACTTACCCAGATGTCCCCTTCCACCTTCCGGATCAGAGTCATCTGACGGTTGCCGTGTGTGATGTCCGTGTAGACGGGAATGTTGTGCATCCGAGAACGCCGCACAAAGTAGGGCAGGTTGGGCGGGGGGTCTGTGACAGGGAGGGACAGTGATAAGCCAACTCTTCCTAGACCTCGTGCCACCTCAGTCAAGGCCCTTCCCCTCATAACCTGCAGAGGGTCAGTGCACCCGGCTGGACCAAGCCACTTCCTGACCTCAGGTCAGGGGATCTCCTCTTTCCTTCAGCTTATGGTCAGGACCAAACTGTCCACCACAGCACCTGAGGCCCTGAACAAGGCTTGGCTCTGAGCAGAAGAAGAAACGAAGCCAGGGACATGCCTCCTTGGATTCTAGATTCCCCGGGGGGCAACCTTGCCCTGCTCCAGAGTCAGAGAGGCTGAAATCAGTCTCTGGAACAAAGGGACTGGGATTTATAAGCAAAGCACTGAACACCTACACTATGCTGGCCTCTGCACTAGGACTTTACGGCTGAGCAGAAGATCTCCATTCTGCTGAAACTCAGGTTGGGAGAAGCTAAATGACTAACTCAAGATCACACCGGCAGTGAACAGCACAGCCAAAGTCAACTCCAGAACAGCCTGACTCCAAGCTATGTTTTGTTTTTTTTTTTGAGTTGGAGTCTCACTCTGTTGCTGCATGCTCACGGCCACCGCAACCTCGACCTGCTGTGTTTAAGCAATCCTTCTGCCTCAGCCTTCCGAGTAGCTGGAACCACAGGCATGTGCCACCATGCCTGGCTAATTTATTTTTTATTTATTGTAGAGACAAGGTCTTGCCATGTTGCCCAGGCTGGTCTCAAACCCCTGAGCTCAGGTAATCCTCTTGGCTTTGCCTCCCAAAGTGCTGGGATTACAGGCATGCGCTGGGCCAAGTATGCTCTTACCATGAGACATGGTCTGTTGTGGGGGAAGGGAGGTCCAAGTTCTTGGATCTTCTCTGTTTACTTTTCCCCATATGCAAAGACCCCACCACCACAACAGTGTGGATGGACAGGTACCCGTGGAACAGACGGGTCCACTCCTTGCTCTTCCTTGGGTGTGAGACGCTAACCCTGCAGGATTGCAGCACGATTCCTGAACCCACTGGGGAGTCCAGAGCCTCAGCTGGGCAGTCTGACCACTGAGAGGGAGATGCTTCCCTGAAGCCTTCACGTCATCCCCATCACCCAGCTTACCTCTGGGAGGCTGCCAGCCACTAGGGGTAGGATAATGTTCATGCTTTGGGGGATTTGGAATCCTGGTGGGGGGTAACAGGCGCTCTACAAACTGGTACTCATCCACAGACTCCACAAAGCTGGGGTGGTCCGAAGGCCCTTGGGTCTGGCTCTGAGGCAAAACAAACAAAAATCCCATCTCTCTGACAGCCCACCTAACACAGGATGGGCAGAACTTACGCAAGTAGAGAAAGGAAACAATGCAGGCAGAAAATGGCATAAATAAAAAGGCACAGGGGGTAGGTCTGAAAGTTGTCAGCATCGAAATGAAGTCATGTGGGTCAAAAACCCTGACCAACAGAGCCAGGGAAGGCCATGAGGGGAGGGTTCTTGGGCACAAATGCCTGATAACAAGGACTATCACAAAAGATTGCAAAAACCACAACCTAGTACAAAGGCCGCTGCAGTCTTACACAGAAAAATATTTCTGTAAGGGCTTCTGCCCAGCACCTGCCCGTCCAGCCGAGACTGGTACCACCCTTGCTACTGATTCTTACAGCCAAGGATTAGTATTTCAAAACAATTATGCGATCCTCATTTTTCCTTGAAAAACTTGTCTTCCTTTACCTCCCTGATACGCACGGAGTGTATGCCCATTCCAGAATAAATCTCATTTTCTTTCAGTCTCTGCCTGTTACTCAGATTGACAAAAGAAAGCGCTGGACTTCAATTCTGCATGGAATGGGGTACAGGTGGGACCAAAAAGCTCAAACACTCTGTACGGCCTGCCTCTCTTAGGATTCCTGTGGGGCTCAAAGGAGAGGTAAGTACCCTTCTGAAAAACCAATGAAACTTAGGAATTTATTTACTTATTTGTTTGTTTTTTTATTTTGTAGAGTTGGAGTCTCACTCTGTCACCGAGGCTGGAATGCAGTGGCACGCTCCCGTCCACTGCAGCCATGGCCTGCTGGGCTCCGGCGATCCTTCCGCCTCAGCCTTCCAAGTAGCTGGAACTACAGGCGCACACTACCACACCCGGCTGATTTTTGAGTTATTGTAGAGATGAGGTCTCGCCAGGTTGTCCAGGTGGGTCTCGAACCCGCGGGCTCAGGCAATCCACTCGCCTCAGTCTCCCAAAGTGCTGGGATTACAGGCTGAGCCACTGAGCCCAGCCCATGTTTCAGTATTTAAACATCCAGTTGAAAAATACTAGTTCTAGATCGGGCATTCTGAGCAATTATGATAACTCACATTCATACTATAGGACCTCGCCCCTCATCTGGAACGGTTTGGCCTCATAAGCACATTCCCAGGCACCGTATTAACTGCTTTACAGATACTGTCTTCACTTAACTTTTTTTTTGAGTTGGATTGTCACTCTGTCACCCAGGGTGGAGTGCAATGGCTGGCCACTGCAGACTCGACCAGCAAGCCAAGATGATCCTTCCTCCTCAGCCTTCCAAGTAGCTGGAACCACAGGCGTGGCCCACCCACCGGGCTGGCCTCAAACCCCCAGCTCAGGCAATCCTCTCACCTCCGCCTCCCCAAGTGCTGGGATTACAGGCGTGAGCCACGGTGCCCAGCCACTTAATTTTTATAGCGTGACAAGTTAGGCCCTTGATCACAATCCTTTTTACAGCCAAGAAAGACTGACATTAAGAAATAATGTCACTTTGGGAGGCAGGGGTGAGAGGACTGCCTGAGCCCAGGCCGGGCAACTTAGTGAGACCTCCTTTCCACAATAAGTAAAAAAATTTGCTGTGCATGGTGGCCCGTGCCTCTAGTTCTACTTGGAAGACTGAGGGGAAAGGATCGCCTGAGCCCAGCAGGTTGAGGCTGCAGTGACTGTGGCCGTGCCACTACACTCCAGCCTGGACGACAGAGTGAGGCTCCAACTCAAAAAAGAGAGAGAGAAAGGGAGGGGAAGGGAAGAAAAGGAAAGAAAAGAAAGAATTATAAATTCTTTAGTTAATGTCGCACTCTGGAGTCTGTCCTCCCATCCCTCAGTCTAAAGACCCTTCCTGAACACTTCTCCTAACAGATACCCCGTAGTCCTGATAGGCTCGAGATTACAACGAGAGCAGAGAAGCAGGATGAACTGGCTGCACATCAGGAGCTCTGGGTATCCCAAACTGTCGCCAATGACCCGGGGCCAGCCCCCACCCTGTGGAACGGTTTCCCCTTCGAGAGATTAGACAGCGAGAGACGATGCACAGCTCCTCTCAGTCCTGGCCAACCCAGGCCGTTCGAAAGCCGGATTCCAACCCCAACACGACTCCCAAGGCGCTCTGCAGCCTGCCACTTTCTCTCTCGTGTTGGTCTCTAGCCAGGCGCAGTGGCTCACACCTGTAAATCCCAGCACTTTGGGAGGCCGAGGCGAAAGGAATGCCTGAGCCCCGGAGTTCGAGACCCGCCTGGACAACATGGGGAGACCTCAAATCCACGATACACTTGAACAATCAGCCGGGCGGGTTGGTGAGCGCCCGTCGTCCCAGATGCTGAGGCGGAAGGATCGCCTGAGCCCAGCAGGTCGAGGCTGCGGTGGCCGTGAGCGTGTCACGGCCCTCCAGCCTGGGCGACACAGTAGACTCCGACTCAAGAAAAAAAAAATTGGTGTCTACACTCAAGACAAGGACTCCCGATCAGACGGGAAAAGCAAGGCCCAAGTAGGGATGCGGTTTTCAGAGCTGCAACGCCCACCAAGAGAGTCTCACCCCCTGCCCGCTTCCCTCCGCCCCAGAGCCCAGAGCTCTCACCAGCAGCCGCAGCGCGTGGCCCGGCTGGACGCCGGTTCGCCAGCAACGCAGCGTCGACCGAAACACTGCAGCGGCCATCTTGGACGATCCCGAGACGCCGGCCTTCGGCGCGCGCATCGGTCAGGCCCCGCCCCCTTGCTGCGCGCGCAGCCTGGACAGGAAGCCCGCCTGCACAGAAGCCTAAGGGGCGGGGCCAGGGCCGCCTGGAACGGTACAAATACCGGGGGCGCTCGCGGTCGCTCGGCATTGACGTAGCACGCAGCCGGTAGTGTGAACGCGCGCGCCCTCGCTCCTTCCTCTTTCTCGACTCCATCTTCGCCGTAGTGGCAGTCGGGGCCGCGGCTCAGGTAAGTTCGGAGCCGCCGTCGAATCCGGGAGGCTGAGCAGCTCGGCCGCGAGGTCAGGGAACGCGGAGGAGACCGAGGAACGGGGACGACTCTCCGGTCCGCATCCGAGCTCCCCGGCAGGCCCCGCCTGCCCCACGTGAAACCACCCCGGCTACCCCCGTCCGGTCGCGCCTGGGCCGCTTTCCGCTCCCCGACCCCTTCTCTCCTGGGGTGCTTCCCCTCTTACGAGCCCTCTTTCCTCCCTCAGTCGCCACCATGCAGCTCTTCGTCCGCGCCCAGAAACTGCACACCCTCGAGGTGACCGGCCGGGAGACGGTAGCCCAGATCAAGGTAAGGCTGCTCGGGCCGCCCGTCGGGTTCCGGGGTCCTGCGCCCCTCCTTCCTCCCGCGCCCCCGCGGGATGGCTCACAGAGTCCCTTTTCTTCCTGCAGGCTCAGGTGGCCGCGCTGGAGGGTATCGCCCCAGAAGATCAGGTTGTGCTCCTGGAGGGCTCGCCGCTGGAGGATGAGGCCACCCTGGGCCAGTGTGGGGTGGAGGCCCTGGCCACTCTGGAAGTAGCCGGCCGCATGCTCGGAGGTGAGAGAGGGAGGGGCATGGGGGGTTTTTTTGGGTTTTTTTTTTTTTTTGAGTTGGAGTCTCACTCGCTCAGACTGGAGTGCAGTGGCCGCTCCCGGCCACCGCAGCCTCGACCTGCTGGATTCCGCCTCAGCCTTCCGAGTAGCCGGAATTATAGGCGCGTACTACCACGCCCGGATGATTTTTGATTTATTGTAGAGATGAGGTCTTGCCAAGTTGCCCAGGCGGGTCTCAACCCGCGGGCTCAGGCAATCCACTTACCTCAGCCTCCCAAAGGCGCGGGATTACAGGCTGAGCCACCGAGTCCGGCCGAGGGGCATGTTTTGGGGGTTTTTTTTGACTTGGTGTCTCACTGTGTTGCCCAGGCTGGAGGACAGTGGCATACTGCTCACAGCCACCGCAGTCTCGACCTGCTGGGCTCAGGCGATCCTTCAGCCTCAGCCTTCCAAGGAGCTGGAACGACTGGCATGCACCACCACGCCCGGCTAATTTTTTTATTTATTGTAGAGACAAGGTCTCACCAAGTTGCCAGGGCCGGTCTCCAACCCCTGGGCTCAGGCAATCCTCTCCCCTCATCCTCCCAGAATGCTGGGATTATTGGCATGAACCACTGTGCCCAGCCAGGAATGTTTTTTGAACCTCCCATAAGCACCTAATTGATGGGTGTGGGGTGCATGGGCCTGGCAGCTGTCACTTAGATTGATTCTTTTTATTTACTCATTTATTTTTGAGTTGGAATCTCCCTCTGTCACCCAAGCTGGAGGGCAGTGGCACACTCACGGCCACCGCAGCCTCGACCTGCTGGGCTCAGGTGATCCTTCCGCCTCAGCCTCCCAAGTAGCTGGAACTACAGGGGCAAGCCACCACACCCAGCTAATTTTTTTGTATTTATTGTAGAGACGAGGTCTCACCAAGTTGCCCAGGCTGGTCTCAAACCCCAGAACTCAGACAATCCTCTTTCCTCTGCCTCCCAAAGTGCTGGGATTACAGGCATGAGCCACCACGCCCAACTGAGATTGATTTTTACACTTCTCAAAATAAACTCTTCAAGGAAGATTCTTAGGACACTGAGCCAGACAGTAGTTATATTTCAGTCATTTACCAGGTTGTCTGGCTCTCAGTGTCCTCACTAAAATTAGGTCAGACCAGACCCCCAAGGTGCTCTTCAGTTTAAGTCAGGAGCTGATAAGTTGCCACGTGGAACTTGGTCAGAGGTCGAGCTTCTGCGACTTTGTTCTCACTAACCTACTGGATCCAGCTTTTCTTTAAAGGCTTGAGTGGAGGGAAGAGGGATTCTGCTGGGCTGTGCCTTCTTGTCTTAACCTACTACTATCCTTTCCGCCACAGGTAAAGTCCATGGTTCCCTTGCTCGTGCTGGGAAAGTGAGAGGTCAGACTCCTAAGGTGAGTGAGGGCGCTCGTGACGGTGTCTGGGCCATGCTTGTGTTTTCCTGTCACAGGTAAAGCAAGACTGGACTCCTGCCCTGTCTGCCTCCTGCCTCCCTAGAGATTACTTGGGCGTGGAAGAGGTCAGCCTGGGTCTGATTAGGCCTCCCTTTTCCCAGGTGGCCAAACAAGAGAAGAAGAAGAAGAAGACGGGCCGGGCCAAGCGGAGAATGCAGTACAACCGGCGTTTTGTCAATGTTGTGCCTACCTTTGGCAAGAAGAAGGGCCCCAATGCCAACTCCTAAGTCCTTAGTGATCCTGACTTTCTCCAATAAAGCAATTTAGCCCGGTCACCTCATTGTTTCATTTTCCTTTTTTCTTAGAAGGCAGTATCTATTGAGAGGACAGAAAAGCTCCCACAGTGGGAGGGCACCTGAAGTGGCCAGTTTCATTTTCATTTGCAGGGCGTCGGGGAGAGGTGTGGCTTCTAGGGCGGGTGGTGTGCTCCTAGAACAGTGAGGCAGGAACGGCGGGGGCCCTTGGTTGTGGGGGGGCCGTCAATCTGCAAGAGAAGCTTCCCGTGGAGAATCAGTAACCTCAGATGGAGAGTTTGGGAAATTCCCTATCCTAATTCACTTAATTTCCCCAAGTCCTTTTTCATCTTCTAAACAGAGACAGTAGCAGGAATTACTGGTGGGAGGTTTGTTACGGAGGCACAACAGAAGGGAGGTAGGGACAGAAGGGGTTTGGGTAGAAGGTGAATCTGGCCTTTTCCTGAACTTGGGTCCAGCTGTGGCCTCAGTAGAGTCCAGGGCAGGCACCTGATCTGCCTCAGCTTTAGGAATCAATACTGCTTTGTTACTTTGGCACCTTGGTGGTGGCTGACCTTGTTTGTGTCTCAGCGATTGGCTGGCCTTGCTAACCTAATCACGCCTGTGATTGGATAGCGGGTGGTTGGTGTTCCCAAAAGTGGAGTTTCTCCTGAGTTTGAGCTGGATTCAAGTTTCCTTTTTAGCAAGGGAGACTGCCAGCACGTCTGTACCCCACTCATTGATTCAGCTAGAAGTTTTTCTGGTTTTGTTTTTTGAGTTGGAGTCACTCCGTCGCCCAGGCTGGAGTGCAGTGGCACGCTCAAGCCACCCCAGCGTGAACCCGCCGTGCTCAGGCAATCTTCCAAGTAGCCAGAACTACAGGCGCGTGCTACCACGCACGGCTAATTTTTTAATTTATTGTAGAGATGAGGTCTTGCCAAGATGCCCAGGCTGTTCTCAAACCCATGGGCTCAGGCAGTCCCCTCACCTCAGCCTCCCCAGCTAAAACTTTGAACCTGTTGGTTCTTAGAATATAGCAGCATCCCCATGGGGTAAAAGCCTTGGGCTCTAGACTTTGCCTGAGCTTAGACTCCTTATTTTTCTGCTCTGTTTATTTGCTGACTGGCCTTGAACTAACTCATAATTAATTAATTATTGAGTCAGAGTCTCACTCTGTCCCCAGGTTGGGGTGCAGGGGCACATTCACACCCACCGCAGCCTCGACCTACTGGGCTCCGACGATCCTTCCACCTCAGCCCCCCAAGTAGCTGGAACCACAGGTGTGCGCCACCACTTCCGGCTAATTTTTTGATTTATTGTAGCGATGAAGTCTTGCCGTGTTGCTCAGGCTGGTCTTGAACCCCTGAACTCAGGTAATCCTCTTGCCGCCACCTCCCAAAGTGCTGGAATTACAGGGATGAGCCATAGCACCCGATTACTAACTTGTAATTTAATCTCTGCCGTCATCTCTATACAGTTGGCTGTGAGGACTAAATTAAAGGATGCAAAAGTGCTTACTTAGACCAGCACGGATTTCAAAGTGTTAATGACCATGTTGTGAGAAAGAGACAAGCCAGCACGCTGAGTCTAATTAATTATGAGTCCTTTATTAACACGTGGGTCAAGAGCAGGCTCACGCCAGAAAAACTCTTGACACCTGAAGTATGCCAGCAAGAAGCTTATAAAGGCAAAACCCACCAGTGGGCTACATAGCAGGGGGTGAGGGTACAAGGAACTAAAAACGAAAGGAACGATTTCTTGGATTTCAGTTAGCAAGGCATACAATTACACAGAACTTGTGGCTAGGGAGTTTTGCAAATGGTCAACATGAACGGTCAACGTGATCAGCTCACAGGAACTCAGCTGTGGGTCTGTGGTCATGGGAACGTTACAATGATACGTACACAATGGGGGTTCATTTTTAGGTCAAGCAGGCAGTTAAGATGGAAGACTTAACAAGATGGAGTTACTTATGTTAAGTGAGCTATTACAGATTATTATTACTTACATCAAGCATTAAGCAAACTAGTCTTATACTAAGCAAGCTATTTATAAACCATTATTGGTTTTTTCAGATATTTCGATAGTTAGTGCAAATATTGGCTATTTTTGCTTCTTGTGCCAAGACATGACTTCTACCTTTTAGCAGCTTAGCTTTTCATGGGGAAAGTGAGGGAACTAAATAGTGGCAAGTATTATGACCTCAAAGAAAGGGTGCTGTCATGAAAGGGAGAAAGGGAACAGACATTATCCCTAGGTAGGGCCTCTGAAGATGAGGTGTGTGAGACCTGGAATGAGCCAATCAAGTGACGGGGTAGTAAACGGGTTCCAATCAGGAAGACAGCTAGGGCAGGGTCAGAGGTGATGTTTCCGGGTAGGTGACCAGTCCTGCAGGTCCTTGTCAGCCAGGGAGAGGAATTAGAGTTTGAGTGCAACCATGATGCGGGTCACCGAAAGGTTTTGGGTAAAAGCCCCATGTGATCTGACCAGTGACCTAATTTCTCAGGCAGATGTTTCTGGAGGGCTGGCAAGAAAGTTGAGAAAAACAAAGTGTTGTCATCCAGGTGAGGGGTCACATAGCTTAGACCCCCAGTAGTAGTGGAGACTAAGGAAAGCTTTCAGGTCCATCTTCATGTCGGGAAATACATGATCCGTATGAAATACAAGGTATTTTGGAGCCGGGTGCTGTGGCTCAAGCACTTTGGGGATTCGAGACCAGCCTAGGCAACTTGGTGAGACCTCGTCTCTACAATAAGTGAAAAATGTAGCCGGGCATGGTGGCACGCACCTGTGGTTCTAGCTACTTGGAAGGCTGAGGCAGAAAGAGGATCATCTGAGTCCAGCAGGCAGAGGCTGCAGTGGTGGTGAGTATGCCACTGCACTCCAGCCTGGTTGACAGTGAGACTCCACTCCAACTCTGGTTTTTTGTTTTTGTTTTTATTGAGTCACAGTCTCACTCTGTCACCCAGGCTGGAGTGCAGTGGCATTCTCACAGCCACTGCAGCCTTCACCTGCTGGGCTCAGGCTATCCTTCCACCTCGGCCTTACAAGTAGCCAGAACTACAGGTGCATGCCACCACGCTCAGCTATCTTTTTAATTTATCGTAGAGATAAAGTCTTGCCATGATGCCCAGTCTGGTCTGGAACCCCTGTACTCAGGCAAATCTCTCGCCTCTGCCTCTCAAAGTGCTGGTGTGAGCCACCACACCTGGTTAGGGGCCAAATTTTTGTTTGTTCTTTCTGTTTTTGAGTTGGAGCCTCGACCTGCTGGGCTCAGGCCCCCCTTCCGCCTCAGCCTTCCAAGCAGCCGGAACTACAGGTGCATGCCACTATGTCCGGCTAATTTTTTTATTTATTGTAGCGATGAGGTCTTGCCAAGTTGCCCGGGCTGGTCGCGAACCCGCACACTCAGGCAATCCACTCGCCTGGGCCTCCCAAAGCGCTGGGATTATAGGCTTGACCGCCGCGCCGGCCGAAGAGGCCATATTTGGGTGCGACCACTAGGGGGCGAGCTGGGACAGGCGGAGCGCTCTCCTGACGCGTTTCCGCCCTCCCTGCGTCATCATGCCGGGAGGGCCCCGAACAGCGGCTTCTGCGCCGGCCCAAGCCCTCCTGGGGAAAGGGGCGGGGCTTGGCTGCCGAGTGCGGGCGAAAGTTGCCGAGAGTCCTCGGAAACTCCACCCGGCCTAAGCCCTCCGTCGGCCCGCCGAGAGGCGGAAGTAGCGGCAGAAGCGCCGGAAGTGCCGAGCTCCCTGCAGCACGCGGCGCCCGTTGTCATGGAGCCGGCCGGGCCCTGCGCCTCCTGCCCCGCCGGGGCGGCCCAGCCGGCGCGCTACACCTGCCCGCGCTGCAACGCGCCCTACTGCTCGCTGCGCTGCTACCGGGCGCATGGCGCCTGCGCCGAAGACTTCTACCGCGACCAGGTGCTGGGGGAGCTCCGCGGCCGCAGCGCCTCGCCCAGCCGCCTGGCCCGCGCTCTGCGCCGGCTGCGCCAGCAACGCGAGACCGAGGACGAGCCCGACGCGGCAGGCCCCGGCCCC